GCTGAACACAACGCAGGTTTGTAAACTTTTCCATGACTAAGTTCACAGCTGATACTCTTAATTTTTTTGCAGCTTCAACTTCAAGCTCAGCTCAGCCGCCAAGAAATTCAACTGCAGACAATTGTGGCTCTGCTGAAGCAGTCTTCCAACTCATCTGGTACTGTTATGCCTCCATTTAGTGCAATTGTTCCGCCCGAGTAAGAATATAGATCGTAAGACGTGTTGCTAAAGGCGAATTGCCGGTTTTGTGTTACCAATAGTTATATGATAATTAAATTGGTCGTTGACGCCGTGTTTTTTTTCAAATTTGAGCACTCAGCAAACTGTTATTTTAGGACTTTAAAGCGATATAAAGGTCAGAATTTGAAAATGAAGAGGCAAGATTTGAAATGCATGCTTAGATCTATAATTTATTGCAATCTTTTTGTGTAGGTTATAAGCCTCGAAATTTTCCATTTAATTGGCTGAAATAAATATTGCTCTTCATTGTAGCACACCAGGATGCAAAGTACACTTACTCCATAGCGAGAGTAATGGCTTTTTTACTATCTTTAACTATATGCTTGCTGCGCAGATCCTCATGAAGAGAAGCAAAAAGCTCTGCTGCAACGCATTGCCGGCTCTGTGGCTCGTCTAAATGAAGTTGTCAAGGAAATAAACACGCAAATAGAGGTCCGTGGAATGCAGAGATTTCGTATTTACGTTCCAATAACATTGGTACTGTCTGTGGCAATATTACAGAAAAGCGATACTTTTCGCGAGGAGCTGACTTTTACATGCCAAGTGTGGAAGGGATACGAAAGCCGCGTACAGTCGCATTGTGATACTGCAATTGCTGCAGCTTCTCAAAAAAAGTATCAGCACCCACCGTAGCGAAACAATGTCTTTCTGCTTCAAATCGTTCTTGAATATCATTAAGCGAATGCACATCATGTAGTGTTCTTGATAAGCCTCAATCTCTTCACAAATTCGTCTTAGCTCGCTCATAAATTTTAATTAACAGCGCTTTCTAATATATGTCATAACGAGGACCACTATTTTACCATCAGTATCAAAATCTAACTTCAAGTCAAACGATAGTCAACTAAGGTCACTCCTCTTTTCATTAAGCTTTTGCAATCACGTCAACATGTAACACTCGCTACTGATCGATTGTGCAAATCAGAAGAGATCCAAGCCACCAAAGCTTGGAGAAGGTCTATGTCATGTTGTTTAAGCTGATGATCTGCTTTCGATATAGCCTTGGCTCCACCATGTTGAGCATCGTCATGAAGACGTTCGAGGTGGCGAAGAAATGAGCCATATAAACGCTCGCGCAGCAGTGCGACCCACCGCACTTCCTCAATAGTGTTCATTTCGTATACAATCCAGTCATCAAGCACTAATAACCATTTATTATCCACAGCGGAGTCAAGTATGTCAAGATCCTGTTTTTCGATCGTCTGAGTTTCCATCGAACCCATCAAGAGCGTCTGCAAAAGTACTGATGGTAATCTGGTGCCATATTTTGCAAGACGTGTGCGCTCCGACTGTATCATCTCATGATACACCAGCCACTCATCAGGTGGACTGACCGCATTATTATCAGGGCCATGCTGCTTAACCTTTTTAGAGTCTACAGCGGTCCACAAAACCATCGACGTACCATCTAATTTGACTTTAACCTTTTCTTTCGAAGTCCAGTTGCGATTTACACCACTTGAGTAATTAAATAACGCGTTAGGGTACATGCCGACACTAAGTCCCATCAAATACTTGGTCATGCTATCCATTGTTGACGATATGCTTGCCTCAGGTGTTGCCAGCAGTTGAGTCGCAGAAGAAAGTCCCAAACGTTCTAGATCTTGTTGAAGCTGTTTGTATACAGATACCAGTTGATCCAATGTCTGTCGATGCAAATTGTTTCGAGCACAGAAGGCATCAACTGATTTATAGGAGGACTGCCCTTGTACTTCGAGATACGCATCAAATGCCTTCCACAACACAAAGTGATCGCTTTGTACGGCAAACGAGAAAGGTGAATCTTTTTGAGCAAACATTTTTTTTGACCGACTTACCTGACGCTGTTCCTCGGGTGTCATACCAAGGTAATTAATGAATGGATCGCGATATCCACTCAGAGTGCATGTAGTTTTTAGAATGGCTTCAAAACAGCCAAACGTATGGCCCCACAACAATAACTTTGCCATTTGCACTGAAACACCTCCGGCGCAAATGTGTGCCAAATGCCAACCTAGTAATGTCAATGCCTGTTTGCATTTTCCATTGTTGACGATTGCATGCATATCTTCTAATCGATGCAGTGACGCATCAATCGAAGTCTGGCTCGGTGCATCCATCGCCTCCAGTAAAAAGTCCTTAGCATCGCTGATGTGGAGCTTCTTTTCCAACTGAAGTAGCTTTATTTGTAACAATAGCTCTTCCAATGGTGTCGTGAGTAATTCGGGTAGCATAAAGTCCTTCATCGCTGTCTTGTAGCGTTCCTTGGAGAAAAGACGAAAACAAATGCCTGCTCGCACGCGACCTGCACGTCCTGTGCGCTGCATACAATTTGCTCGAGCTACCCAAGTGGTCTGAAGTCCCATCACAAACGATGAGCTAGAAGTTGCCGCAAGTGCGTGGGTCTGTTTTGACTTGCCACAATCAATCACGAAAACGACATCTTCAATCGTGAGACTCGTTTCTGCGATGTTGGTCGCTAAGACCAGCTTCCGCTTGCCAGGTGGCGGCGTCATAAATGCACGACGTTGTTCTTGTGCGGACAAGCGTGAGTGAAGAAGAGCCACTTCATATTTGCTGGAAGCAAATAAAGCTCGCGAATCCAGCAGAGCTCTTTCCATATAAGAAATTTCTTCCCATCCAGGTAGAAATACTAGAATCGCTCCTTTTCCATCCTCGTCCAGCGGAAACTTTTGGTCAATAAAGAAGATCAGCTGCAGTAAAAGATCATAATCCACGGCTTGATCTTGTTTTAATGCATCTAGCTGCTTCACATACGAAGATAGAAGTGTTACCTTCGCATCTTCGGTAACATCACTTAACTCGCCTTGTAAAGTATCTCCCATAGCAGCAACAGGTACGAAAACAGAAACATGTTTCTGCGTCGGTGCTGATAATGCGTCAAAATCCACTATTCCTTCTCCGAAGCAGGTCGCTACGTGCATTCCAAATGCCTCTTCGTCAGCAAAAGTAACACCACCACACAAAGGGCAATCCAGGTCACTCCTTCGATTTTCTCCATTTACTTCCTGCCAGCAAAGTTCAGTACCAATATGTCCGGAGCGCGAGTCCTCCATAAAAGGCAGTGATGAGCTTCGATCACTTCTAAGCAACGCAAGTATATCTTCAAGATAAAAAATCGTGACAGGAAAATTTGTGCCACCGACCATCTGCAGTGTCGGCGCTGGAAAATCCGGCTGAAAATACTGTGAGAACTTCTCGACTTGTATTGTTGCGCTCATAAGAATGACCTTAAGATCCGGTCTTTGCTTAAGAATCGACATCTTGATTAAAATTAGTAAGAAATCTGTGAATTGGTCACGCTCATGCACTTCATCGAGAATGATATGGGAAAATCCTCGAGCAAGTGGGTCATTCTGAAGCCACTTAAGTAGAATACCCGTTGTGCAAAAAATCAGCTTCGATTGTTTCATATCAAAGGATGAGTCAAATCGGATAGCATGACCCACTTCTTTGGAATCTTGTCCGATGCGTTCACGTCTCACACGTTCTGCAAGCGAGATGGCACTAATTCGTCGAGGCTGCGTGCAAAGAATCCTTGTCTCTTCTCCACAGCCACGTGCCAACGCGTCATCAAGTAGAAACTGCGGGATCTGAGTCGACTTTCCGCATCCCGTATCACCTGATATCACGACAAGTTGATTGTTTGCTACAAGTTCTAATATTTGTTGTCGATATTCATACACTGGCAGTTTAAGGGTTTCATTTGATGGCGTCCTTCGTATCTTGACTCCGGTCTTCGTTTTGTTGCTTGCTAGTGGCTTAAAGGTAAATTCGCCGCCTCTTCCTCGATTTCTTCTAGGAATTGATGCCAATGGTGTGAGATCTTTCGCGCTAAAGGGATCCACGGCACCGTCCGTAATAGGATAATTCTCCATGTATGCACGTACAATGGGTGGAAACCACTCGACTGTTGCCGCATTAAGTGGTACAGCCTGAAGTCGAAGTGAGACTTTCTGCATGGACGCATTTTTCTTTACTTTAGCCACGTGGATGAAGCGATTAGCACCCTTACCCGAGCTCTTGGAAAAAAGTCCATATTTTTGCGCTACAGAATGAATGTATCGCCGCTGCGTACTGTCATAAGTGGCAGAAAAACTAATATCAGTGCGATTGCCGTCTTCGACTAGGGACTGAAGGGCTGCGTGAATTTCCATAGTGAAGCTCTCATCGAGGCTAATGAGGTCATCGGAGCTATTCGAGTTCGGGGCGTAACGCACGCCGGACGATGCACTTAGGTTAGAGCCGTAACTAGCTTTAACTTCAATCCCACGGCCTTGTCTGCCGCCATTATAAGCACC